ATCGAGGCTTACCTAGCCTTAAATCAAAACAACTCTGACTGTTTACCAAATGGTTCTTCAGAATTCTTCCATTAGGGCACTATCAACGCGTGCAAATTGCTTAACAGTGTGATCAGGTTCCACTAGTAATAGTAATTTTACCGAATAAAACTCTTAGTTAATCGCTCAAATTATTACGCCAACCAAACCCATGCTCAACTTTTTTTGTCAACATGCTGTTGTGATCCGGCCAGTTCCTGTCCTCCAAAAAATCCCAACCCCATTTTTTACAAGATTGTAACAAATGCCAGATAAACGTCACCCATGCTACATGTTTGAGTTCTGAAGCCCTATCAAACCAGGATCCTAGAGGAAGAAATGGTATAGGTTTTCATTTCCACTTGTATACGTTACAAAACTCGATGCTCATGCTGTTAGGGGAATATTGAAATAGTGAGCCACTTACAGAAGCCTTAGGGAGGGAAGAGAGGACGTGAGCACCCTTACATTCCTGGCGTTCCTCATTTTTTCTCTTCCTTTTCTTATACAAGGACGGTATGATCTTTTCACTAGACGTTGCTGGAATAAACATTACCTGTGATACATTCACACAACCAGCTCTTAAATTTATTCACAATGATTCTTAAAACATTCTGTGCGTTTTTATTAACGTCAAATAATTATTACCCGACACATAATCCTCCAATTAGTTACAATTAAGGCCTGATATACCATAAGGCGACATCAATTATTGACAATTCAAGAACAATATAGTCCGTACCAATATCAACTCGTAATATACGCCATACAATATCAAGCCAATAAAATGCGAAAAACAACGGATAACAGCCATAACCACAGCAAAGCTTCAAAACGCATTTTGATATACACATATAAAACAAAACCATAAACATAGCATACATTCAACTATGAAAATATTAATTACAGTTAAATAGAGTTAGAAAGGAGTCTCATCCAGTAAAGAGACATTACGATGCACAGACTGCTCTAATGTCAATTTGGCTCACAGTTCTTTGAAACTAAATGGCTTTACTCCTACTTTTTTTCAGGTTTTTTGCATAATGTATCTTGAACTAAATTAAACAAACGTTCATGAAATGTAATAATCACCTAGTGACAGCTAACAATAAGACTAAGCCTAAGATTGGATTCGCCTGGGATTTTGCTTTCCTTTTTAAGGCCCTAAACGTTTGCAATAAAATTGTAGCTCTCCGTGGTTTTGAACGCATTCAGCGCTCTAAACCACAATGTCCCCCCTTTTTGGATGAGACCCCAAAGAAATACACCTGTTTTGATGATAGCAGCTGCCTAGCATTAATTACATCTGAGCAATTATCGGTCAATTTGAGTGACCTTACGAAGAACTGTACCCGTAGGAAGTCTCCCCATTTCCTGAAAGCAACTAGGTTTCCATTCAATGCTGCTCAAAGTATAGCGTAATAATTTGCTTACCTGGAGAATGACATAAGACTCGCCCTCTGGAAGCGTATCGATCGTTGGAAGCTATCGTATGGTCCAAGATATCTCGTCATTGACCTGAATGACAGCATAATCTCCCACATCCCGATTTCTCATTAACTTGACATGTTCCCGAACTAACTTCGCAAAGTATTTTCCAGGAACCAGATTATTCCTGGTATTCTCGTCAAGTTCATTAGTAAGAGGACGAACACCAGGCAGCTCTGATGGCGAGATCGGACGTGGAGGAGGCACAACCCTTGCGGGACTGAAACATTCCCAAATGAAACTAACTACTGAAAATGTTTGAAAAACGTCAAATTATTACATTGAGAGTTGTCGGACGTTTCGGAATATGACCTTTCCTGTTTCTCTCATTCGACCCATACTCTGTAAAATTCAATGCCAAATGACAAATGCAGAAGTTCAGTGAGGAAATGAGAATTGACACAATCACTGTACGCACTGATTACTCACCTGCAAAATGAAGTAGTCATCACCACTAGGAAGTTCTGCTGCAGTTGGTTCATGGTCAAAAGGACCAAGATATTGAGTTACTGATCTGAACATACAAATAAGAAGTCGAAAAAAGAACTGGAAACTGCGCCGTTGTGCACAAATTTACCTTTTCTTCAGAAACCGCAAAGTAACCTAAGAATGATACCTTGCGCTTCAATTGAAATAACTTTTGCATTGCAGCGCAAACCTTAGAAACCAAACCGACCTTTCACAAGAATTACTTACTTCGCATAGTATTCTCCCGGTACAAGTTGACTTCTAAGCGTTTCAGAAACTTCCTTCGGGAGTGATCGTACACCGGGAAGCATTGTCGGCGAAAGCGGGCGCCTACGACGTTCAGACAGCTTTCTTTCAATCGCAGACGGGATTGGGCTGAAATGGAAAGAATGAGAAAACGATCTAAATGGTGAAGTTTTTGCATGAAGAGCCATCGATACTTCTCAGTTACGATGGAATAAATGATCGGATTCGGGATCACTTTGATGTGTGATCCCTCGCCAAAGGCACTCAAACAAAACTAGAATATACTTTCGCTACGCTCGTCGTGCTTCAGGAGTCGCAGATCTTGGCGAATGCACCACGGTCACCTATCACAACCAGAAACTACAACCCCGCTCAGGCAATATTTCAATGTGTTCATTCTCAGTACAGTCGACAGAAAGGAGCTTCCTGTATACCACAATGAATGGCAACAAGATTTCAACTTCTAACTGAGAAAATCAGCCCAACCTTATTTCTGCCCTACAGTCAAGGTAAGCGCTCTCAAAGATCAAGAAAAACTCGCTGTTCCCAATGAATCCCTGCGGTCTTGGAACGAACCAAGCGAGAAGCCCAAAAAATGCCTGAGTTTTAAATAACTAGGACCACACTTCAACAGGAGCTCAAGAATTTCCCCTGATAATATTCATCGGGAGAACTTTTCTAAGACAAAGTTTGAAATGCGGCTTTACTTGAGGAGAATAAGGAACATTTTACACCACTTACTTTCCATCCTTTGCACGCACGAATCCTGACGGGACTGGGCAGAAAGGATCCTCAGGAATCGGAGAAGTGGGACGTTTCGACTGGAAAACAACAAATACAGCCTATCAAAACCCAACTGTTCGAGAAGATAACGACTACATGAAGAAATGCATAGGAAGCAACCAAGACGAAGATCTTACCTCTCTCGTCCGGTGAACCATCTTGATCAACGTAGAGAGCGATGCCAGGCGCGCTAGATTGAGTGGTGTGTTGTCCGAGAACTGAGGCAATTCCTAAATCACGCGCCAAAATAACGACGCTCCGCCCACACGGCCTCATGTCATCTCGTACCGCAGGCGTAGCCGCGATCGAAATGATCTGCACCAGACAGTTTGACCAGGTCGTGCCATTGGGATCTGGGTCATGCTCTTGGTCCCGGTTTGAGCATAGGTTTGAAAATGGGGACACTATTACCATTCAGACGCTGCTAGGTGAAAAGCCATTTCAAATTTAAGAGATTGTTTATGGGGTACACCACCCTTTAGTCTCGAACCTGGGTCAAAAAAGTGAAAGAAACATTCGGCCTCCACAAAGCCTCGACTGCGTGAAAGACCAGCGCTATCGGTCTCTTAAGATTTTCCTGGTTCGGTTGGATGTCAAGAATGAAACGTGCTCATTATACAAGTCAGAAGTGAAAATCTCATCCAGCTACTCAGCTTCAGTGACTGAAAGCTGTTGGTTCGAAAAAGTGTATTTGCACACGAAATCGAAACTAACGTCTAGACGTCCTCCCAGCTGGAAAATACCTGAATTTAGAAGGAACGAAGTGCGCTTATGTCGTTAAGGGGGGCATACAAGTAAGTGCGTCAGTTACTGCACGGTTACGGACTACTCGATCTCGAACTTTATTCAACGGATCTGCCACGAGGCTGGAGCACAGACGAAGAAAGGAGAAAGGAGAAGAGAAAGAGAGAAGAAGAGAGAAAAGGGAAAGGGAAAGAGAAAGGAGAGAAAGGCGCATCATCTCAGCTCCAAATCTCAAGGATGAGGGTGAGAACCCTAATGATAAGCTTTGGAGGTGAGGGGAGACTCCGAGATGGGGTGAGCCAATAACAGTGTGGTAAAAGTTTGACTGTATGAGGGTGAGGGCACAGTAGTCATGAACAAGGTCAACCGTCACGTTGGACCAATTTCGAAAATTCTACGACCCCCCTCCCCCTCTGGAGGGCCTCGATACGACCCCCCCCCCAGGGCCAACTCCTCACGACCATCCTCCACCACCCTCGCCTGCCGGGGGGGGGGCGATTCTATAGTATTTGATTCTGAGATCAGTCGACACAGCCCAACTCCGCCCACTTTTCCTTCCAAAATTACCCCGTCGAGCGGGAGGGGGGGGGGGGGTATATAACGGGAAACGTGACACGGCAAAAGTTTCATACTCTCACATTTCAACACAAAAGCTCCAAGCTTAAACATAAATCCACTATCCGTTCCATGAAAAACATCCTTCCCTTACTGTAACATTAACGCTACCTCGCGAAATACGACCCCCCCCCTTTTCCACTCCCAAATACGACCCCCACCCTCTCGTTGGGTTGGACTTTTGTCCAACGGACGGTTGACCCTGGTCATGAACCGCTATTTAGGCGAGGGAGCGCAGGCGGAGCATCAAACTGGGGCGCTTAAAAGGTCCGAGTTAAAGACCCTCAAACGCTCACGGCACATGTGACAGAGTCCTAGGGTGGGAGGGATTTTTGGGAATATATGCGAGCGATTTTTCGTATTCCTCTGTCTGGCATGTCTCCCTCCCCTACCTGGCCTTACAGTTAGTCCTAGCGTAACGCTCACCATCGCCGCCGGCGTGGCTAAGACAGAAAGCGATTTTTTTCGTATTTCGCAGCGCGAAGCCGTTTTTCACGTGGGAACCTCGGTCCACTGATGATCAAGCGCAAAAAAGTCGTTCTTCTGCATAGTCGGGTCGGACGATAAGCAACGACTGCTGCTGTCGGACGACAACAACGACTGCAGGTTGTCGCATAAACCGCGGTCGCAAATGGAAGGCGACGCGGTCACCCAATGCAAACCCAGACAACACGTGACTGCGCGTGATCGTATTTCGAAAGTCCCACTGTAGTGTGGAATAGTAGCTGCGTATTGATCTGCGACACTTGCAGTCGTTGCTGTCGTCCGACAGCAGCAGTCGGACGACAGCAACGACTGCAAGTGCCGCAGATCGATACGCACCCAATACTGTGCGACACTTGCAGTCGTTGCTGTCGTCCGACCGACTATGCGTCCGGCCTCTCTCCAGCAAAACCAACCCCCATGGGCCATATCTTGAAATGTCCCTTCCAAGGCCATGAGCACCAAACGAAGAAATGTTAAAGCGACCATGGCGTCTTGGACCAAA